CTGATACAATTCTTTCTTTTTTTGTGGGATTGGGAAAACTATGTAGACTTTTGTCATAACCTTGTCTGACAGAACAACCGTACGCTTGGCAAGACATTTTGACACTGAATAACCGTCTACGGTAATCCCCAATTGATGATGGGAGTTTTTAACGCACGGTCGGTAAATCCCCGATTCTTTTTGTTCTTTGGGGTTTATAGATATCACGTGACTTTTTAGATCGAACATGCCGACAAGATGGCGATATGTCGAGAACTGATAGTGAATTTCAAAAATCGATTTTGATCTCTTTACATAGAGAATAAAAGTTTTTTATTCATGAACATGTGGTTTTTTATGCTTAAAGAACAAAATATCAATTTTTAATTTTTTTGCGGAGTTTCCCTTTAAATTGTCGATTTTTATTATACTATTAATAATTTTCCAATAACCAGGACCTCTTTCTGGTTCGTTGGTTTTGATATTAATTGTCACGCTGTCGTGATCACTGAACGGGAAATAAACAATAATTGAATTGTTTAATCTACAATCGATTTTATCACTAGTGAATATATAATATATTCACGATTATGATTTACCCCTTGATAATGTGTATTGTTTTTTGTTTGGATATCTGAGATGCTATATGACCGTCAGTTCATTTTTTTCAATAATTTTTTTAGTTCATGATTGCCTACATCTTCACGTTGGGGCATATTTTTTCTATCTAATGTTTTATTTAGACAACAGTTAAAATCTCCCATAACATATAGTTCACGACATCATTTTCTTTATATTTGGTGAACTTATTAAAGAAGTATTTTCCTTTCTATGTCATTACACAGGTAAAATAGCTACGGACGTTTCACGGATGTGGTAATAAACGTCCGTAAAACATCCGTAATACGGATGTATTACGGATGATACGGTTACGTCCGTAAAACGTCTGTAAAAATACATCCGTAAAACGTACGTGTAAAAACTGATGTAAAACGGATTTTCCGTTTCACGGACGTTTCTTAAACATACGTATTACGGACGTTTCTGCAACATCCGTATTACGGCTATATCTTATTCAAAGATGTAAAAGTACCATGCATGATATATGCACAACGGCTAATACATGCATAAAGTAAAATTCTTAACTTGCTTTCAACATTCTGCATGCCAGACATACATGTGTATAGTGAATCTCTGCTTCAAGCCTATAACTTTTAATATTTGCATAATATGAGTACATATGAAGTGATCTTTTTCCGAAAAGACCACATGATTTAATTAAAAGTATGAAATATTAAAATAATTAACTGACAATGTCAATGACTGATTTATAATCCTTTTCTCCAGAGCATTTTTTTTTATATACTTCATTTGCATAGGATTTTTCAATGAAATGCAGAAAATACTTGTACTTTAATGCAATGTTAACTGTACATGAAAACGTTTCAATTGATGCACTACAACACAGCGGCATCATTATAGAGGAAAGGGTTAATTATAGAAATTTAATGAAAAGTGTATAGTAACAGGAACATATATATTGATATACTGTCATGACTGTTCCCAGGTAGTAATTAACAAAATTAAATGGAAAGCTTCTTAACAACAGTCACGATGATTCAACAGTTTTCTCATTCTTTCATACATGTATAATAAAAAAGATAGTGAGTTTCTAAACACTGAATTTTTTCATTGCTTCTTGATGTTCATCATGAACATCCATTTATTTAATTTAAGATATGGTTGTACTTTTCCATCAACCATTTTAAAACATATCTTCCAAAAAAAATCTAGAAAAGGAGTCAACTTGTGAGTGAAATTATATAAAATTAAAACAATGTTAATTAAAAAAAATATCTTTTTCCTGTATGTAAGGTCAAATAAAAAAATATGTGTGTTTCTTATTTCCGTAATAACTACCCTATATATTAAGCTTAGAAATAGCCTTCCCCTAAATTTTTTTTGATTTATCAATAAGCACTGTTAAAGTCAGAATTTCTCTCCCATCAGCCCATAGACTCAATGTAAAAAAAAATTGTAAAATAAGAAAAATCCCCTACCTATCCTATTTTTTCAAAGATGTAATAGGAAACACACATATTATTTCATTTGGCCTAATTAAGAAATAAATGTAATTGAAAAAAAATCTTTATATTTTTTAAAAGATTTTATTTTTAAAAGCTTGTCCTCGCAATATTAAGTTGAATTATACAAAGAGTGCTTGGTGTCTTTCCCACAAACAACTAATGATGGATGGCTAATTAATTGCCATGAATGCAGTTAAAAGAATATAAAAATCTAACATTCAACCTTATTTGTAACGCTTGAGTAAAAATGACTGGATGTATATATATATTGTACATGGCTGAATTAAAATTACCGCATTATGGCGCATACCTGGTTTCTTCAAATGAGACCAATGGAAATAGATCTGACTGTTGTCAATACTTGATTGTTGATCATTCTGATTATCTGTCCAAGTACAAAACTATGCTAACAAGAAATTGCACATGAGCATATAGAAAGTACTTGAAAAGTTTCAGATTGTTTGATGTCTGAAGTAGTTTCTATCCTGTTCAATGACTGAATGAGGATCATGAGATTTAGGGGGAAGGAAACACTCTTATCGTGTTTAAATCACGACAACCAATGCAATAGTCACATGGTGTTAGTTCGTCCCTTATACCCGCCCTTATATTAAAGCCCTTATACAATGCATCTGAGACTACTATAACCTCAGACTATAACATAGTGTTATAATAGTCTCAGAATATATGTAGAATAATGCCGGTAACATTATAACTTTATCATACATTTATTCTCCTTTGGTGTGGAATAAAAGCAAATTACCTGCAGTGCTTCTATTTTATTAAGTTGTGTTTCAAGCAAGCATTTGTGAAAACAGTACTATTTAAAGTAATTTTGGGCAAGATAGAAAATTACAGTACAGGGCCTTTTGGTGTAGGTCTATTGTTAATGATGAAATTGAAAGAGGATACCAATTAAATTAATTTATAACCAAAAATCTAATTAAACGAGAAAAGCCAGAGAATAAAAGATAAAACAACAATAACTTACCATTACACATAAACTGACTGATCCAGAAATTTTCATAAAGGGGGTGGGGGCACTGACTGTTAAAAAGCAGGCCTCACTAGTCATGCCAGTGGCGGATCCAGATATTTTCATAAGTGGGGCCCACTGACTGCCTAACCGTGAGGGTCCCGCTCTGGTCATGCTTCAGTGATTTCCTATATAATCAACCAAATCCCCCCTGGCCCATCTAAATCCACCTCTGCATGCTTAAGTGATAATCCCTATACAATCAATCAAATTTTTCCCACAAAAAGGGGAGGGGCAGGGTGCACTAAAATCGCCTCTGTGTGCAACATGAACATCCAAAATACATGAATGAACTCAAGTAGTGATAGTAGTGAACAGTTCGGAACTTCCCGGGCTGCTCAACATGTGGCAACCTACGTCTTAGTATAATTGCAAATTTAGTAAGTAAAATTTTGATTTGATTCGACATTTTGACAAACATGATAACATAAGGGACTGACGACATCATAAGATCGATGTAGGATAAAAAAAAAAACTTAAATCAAATAGTTTTGGGGTGGGGTGGGTGGGTTAAAAATTGCTGCAAGTTTTGTTTATCCAACATCAATTTTACATATATATCAAATCAATTTTTCCCAAATTAAGTGAAAAGGGGGGGTGGGGGTCAGTGAATTATCCTACATTGAACTTTTGATGTCGACTCGTCCCTAAGATCTGGTGAGCTTTTCGTTGAATATAGGAGATAGTGATTAAAGTATTTGCAAGCAAAGTTCATAAGTTGAGAATTATAAAACAAAATATATTGTTTAACCTTGGACCAATAGATCAAGTCCAAAATTTAGCCATTTCAAGGATCGATCAGGGTGATAATGTAGCACTGGCTATTATAATACTTGTGTAGAACCTTGTATAGAGTAAATCAAGGAGGCAGTAGGAAAACTTATAAGATGTTTCCTAATAATCATGATTACAAAAGAACTTGACACGGATTCTTAACTGAAGGTCTGTCCGATTAGTAAAATTTCGAATGCACTTAAATGAATACATAAGTGACCCCCCCCCCCCCCCTTAAGTCTCCGCCAAGACTGATAGACTCCTTAAGCCAATTCTGTAACCAAGAGCATTCCTATGTTTATATTTTATTTATTATTGAGTTACTGTTTAACCTTTAGTTCTTCTCTGATTAGAGCTAGGATTTGTATAGTAATAATATACAAATCCTTGATAAGAGCAGAGACATATAAGTATTATATGTCTCTGATAAGAGTAATCCTCGTTTGTCAATTTTCCATAATTCCGCGGCACCACCCCCTCAGCAAACAGTCTTGTATTTAATTCTGAATAGAACAAAATGTAAAATAAGTGAATAAGTTATAGATTAAATAATAAATAAATAATTAAATATTCTTTATTTAGTTTTTTCTTTATTCTCACTTCTTCCAGAGACATGTACGAATGTACGTCTCTGATTCTTCATAGTCTTATATCTGAGACTACTATAACACATGTGTTATAGTAGTCTCAGCTTATATTAAGGATTTGTAGAGTATACAAATCCTTGATTATAACAAAGGCATATAATACTCAGTGTACCACTTCTGAACTTTTTTGTAATTATTATCTCTACTTAATTCCCCATTCTTGATTCCAGACCGGGTTCCGGACTAACTCTCATATACGTAAATGATCGTAAATGTACGAAAGCTTGACACGTCGAATACGAAAACCCGGAAATATTTTCTCCGTTGCCGTTTTTTATACTATGACGCAAAATCCATGGACGCTCGTCTGCTGCTGAATTCATGTTTTACAGTTTAACAAGGATTTGTATAGTGTCACTGTACACATCCTTGAGTTTAAAGAATGGAAAGATATATTATAGTCAGATAGATAATACAAAGAACTCTGGTTTTTCAAAACCGATGGGTCAAAAAGTTATTAGTATGAACATGCAGATAAATTGAAATGGGTTGCTTGTCGATTAACTGGAAGAAACCGGGGAACGAAAGAAAGTTGTGTTTCTCTTAACGGATTACGTACCCAATATTTTGTACTTGGAAAGCGCAACGAAAGGTAAATATTATCATGTACATATTTAAGAAGATGCTAGTGCTATACTTTTCACGAAAAAAATTTGACTTTATAAATGTCATCGCATGCAAACCCGAAAATCAGTCAAAGATTGTCAAGAACGGACGCAAGTCAACTCGACCCACTGGCAAAACGCCCTACTTTTTTAACAACACGCCTCCCTTTTTAAAAATATCCCACTCTTGTTAAGGGAGCTACCATATGAGCTTTATTTGGGGGGTACTGGTAGGGGTGTGTTATTTGAAAAATATGCGGAACTGGAGTTCTGTCAACTTATAAGTTAAAAAAAGCTAGGATTTATGTAAAGAATTACCAGGAACAAATATAGTGAAAAATTAACTGGCAGGACAGAGATTTCAATTAAAAAAAATGCAGGATAACATTCTTATCCTAGCCCCCACCCCGTAAAAATCAAGTGGTGGCTTCCTTACCAACTCGCCCCGCTTTAAAAAAAAATTGCCCCACTTATGAAAAGGGTTAAATCCGTAAAATATACTCCTGTCAACAATGGCAACTCGCCTAACTTGGGTAAAATCCAAATGAATATAGAATATAAAAAAAATAAAGGTCTGCCTACTCGCCCGTATTTACTTATCTACCCAGAAATTAGAAGACACTGATACAAAGAAATCGAAATTTAATATATGATATTTATTGATTTAGAATGATGTTTCACTTCTTAAAATATGATTGTAGATTCATTATTTATTATTAAATTATTATGTAATTTATGTATTTCTTTATTGTATCATAATCTATTTGATTCTTTTTTTAGCTGACTCAAAATCTTGCATGATGATGCTGTTTGGGCCCCCTGGTTGTACATAGGAAGTGGACTCCTCGAGAAGATGAAAGGTCTGCTTTACATGTATGTAATGTAAATATAAAAATAAGAAAATGTGGTGATTGCCAATGAGAAAAACTAGAGGAATTTTTAAAAGTGTAAATTCACTTGTTTTTCAATCCTAATAAATCTGTCATATTGTAATGATAATAATGTTTAAATTACGTAATTATTTTCAAAATAAAATATTGTTTACACCAATGAGAAAAGACAACTCTCCACCAGAAATCAAATGACATTGAAGTTAACAACAATAGGTCACTGTACATCCTTCAACAATGAGCAAAGCCAATACCGCATAGTCAGGTTTTAAAGACCCTATATGAGAATCACAAATTTGTAAATCAAACCAGAAAACTAACAGACTAATTTATACAATGTAATATATAAAAAACAGAACCAAAAAAACAAAATATTATAAACAGCAACAAACGACAAACTGAACCACTGAATAACACTAACAGGCTTCTGACATGAGACAGACGCATTCAAAAGGTTGTGGTGGGGCTAGACTAGTAGTTTGTGGTACTAAACCAACCACCTTAGCTGGGATATTGGTGTGAAAAGGGCTTTTAAAGCAGATTTATACATCCCCAAAACTAAAAAGACTAAGTATAGATCTGAGAGTACTCCCAATTGCTAACAGCTAGTTCAAAGCCAATAACAACTTTCAAGGTACATGTACATGTATTTACCACCAAACCTTGTCTCGTTTAGTCCATTTCTCAGATATTACCTTATATCAATGATCAGTCTTCATGCTGAACCACAGGCCCAGCAGCCCAGGCTTGTAAAATTGCTCTCGGGCCTGTAAAAATCATCTCTACAGGCCAACAGAATCTAACTAAAATTCTCCAAAAATTGAGTTCCGGGCCTGTAGATTTAAAAGTTCATTGTGAAGACTGTTATCAAATACTAGTTCAACTTTTGGTATAATTTAAACATTTTTGAATGACTTCAAATTTCAAAAAGTATCATGATTATTAAAATAACTTGATGGTAAGTTGATGCCCAAAGATTGGCATTATAAATCATGACAGATTCAGAGATCCAATTATACATGTATATAACCGCTTTTGTTCATCCCTTCATTCAAGGGTCATATGGATTTTATATGATGGATTAGATCATTAGAACATTAAAATGATTAAATACTTTGATTTTTTATAGTCATTTTTATACGCCTGTCAAAATTTTTACGGGACATATTATGGTATACAAATGTCCGGCTTCCGGCCGTCTGTCTGTCTGTCTGTCTCTCTGGCGTCCACATGTCGCACTGTAACTTGAGAACCACTTATCCAAATTTAATGAAACTTAACATAGTCGTTTCTTATGATGGTCAAACTATCTGCATACTTTTTGGTGAAAATAAGATTTAAACTTTCGTAGTTACAAGACTTTATAGCTAAAACAGGGGTGTGTTTTTTTCACATGTCGCGCCGTATCTCAAAAAACATGTATTATTGTTGCTTAAAACTTTACACACTACTTATTTATTTTAATCTTAAGATCTGTTTACTTTTTGGTGATGATTCAAAATTTTATTTTAGAGTTATTGAGTTTTTTGTAAAAAAAGGGGGGTTTTAACATGTCGCGCCGTATCTCAGAAACTATTTATGATTATTGCATAAAACTTCACACACAAGACGACGGGTGTATCATGCGCTCGTGGCACAGCTGTTTATTAGCTTTTCTCATCACAAGGCGTCTGTCGTCGTTGTCCGTTGCTGTTAACTTTTACAAAAATCTTCTCTTCTGAAACTAGGGAGTCAAATTGAACCAAACTTGGCCACAAACATCATTAGGATATTTAGTTAGAAATATGTGTCAGATGACCTCTCCTGCTAACTAACATGCCAACATGGCTAAAAATAGAACATAGGGGTAAAATGCAGTTTTTGGCTTATACATGTGTAGGACTCGGAGGTGCGATGGGGACGCTGAAGTGCGATGGGGACGCTGAAGTGCGATGGTCCACGCTGAAGTGCGATGGTCCACGCCGAAGTGCGATGGTCCTTTCGATAAAGTGGGATGAATTTGCATGACGTTTGATATTGTGACGTTTTCAAATACAACGTTATGAAACAAATGGATTCACAGGCAGGAGAATAAGATTTGTAGATGAAGGTTTCGTACGTACTAAGGAAAGGAAACAGAATGAAACGAAGGATTTAAGTCCCAAACAGTTTTGAGCATGTCTTGGTCTTATATAAAATTTGACTTCTCCTCAAGTTAACATCACATGATTTTGTGTGGCCAACTTTTAAAATAATAAATTAATTATTAGCAATGTTTTCGTTATATCAAGTAGCGATAATTTTGTTTTATTCTCGAAATGAATCCGGCATGCTTTGTAAGAAAACGGGCAATCTTGGTTATTTTATTTTTTTTAAATATTTATATTCTGCTATGGGTTAGGCCAAAAGAAACCCAAATGGTGCCAACTTGTTGTAATTCTCAGTTTCTGCTGCTTAGCGAAAAATCAGCTAATTCTCAAGCTAATGACAGAACAAGCGTCATGTCTCACTATATGTCAAGCATAAATGTAATCGGTAGTTTTTATTTCTTAAAAACTGTTATGATTTATTAAATAAATAGATGCATGAGTGTTGTGAGAAATTTCGTAGCTACTGACATGACAAGAACAAGTTACTAGTATATTTGATAAAATTAAATGTATCCTGCTTAGTTAGTACTACAAAGAGCGCTGTGCTATACCCGTTTTATTTTTTATCGCACTTGAATGCTCATTATAAAAACAATGTCCCCCAACTCGAATCCATTATACTTAATCTGAGCCATCCAGTCTATTTTCTGCCTCATACTGTTGTATACTAAGCAAAACATTAGCAAATTAAAAATTAAAGTCTTTATTTTGACCTGACCAGAAAACCTGGTCTTCCAAATGCGAGGCTAGCACATTAACCACTACACCGCCACATTTAAAAATGGGATTTCAACTTCAGACCATTGCATTTAGCTAGTATACACAACGTCACAGTTAGACCATCGCACTTCAGGGTACCCATCAAACGCACTTCAGCATATCTAACAACAAGTTAGTGTCACAATGGACCATTGCACTTCAGCGTGTTAACCAACGCACATCAGCATGGACCATCGCACTTCGGCGTGACCATCGCAGTTCGGAGTACCATCGCAGTTCCAAGTCCTACACATGTATCTCTGAGACTAAAGCATTCAGAGCAAATCTGACGTGGGGTTAAAACATTCACCAGGTTAAGTTCTATCTGCTATGAAATTTTTAGACAAATCAGACAACCTGTTGTTGGGTTGCTGCCCCTGAATTGGTAATTTTAGGGAAATTTTGCAGTTTTTGGTAATTATCTTGAATATTATTAGAGATAGAGATAAACTGTAAACAGAAATAATGTTCAGCAAAGTAAGATCTACAAATAAGTCGACAGGACCAAAATTGTCAATTGACCTTTTAAGGAGTTATTGCCCTTTATAGTCAATTTTATTAACCATTTTTCGTAAATTTTTGTAATCTTTTACTAAAATCTTCCCTAAAACTGCTCGGCCAAATTTAACCAAACTTGGCCACAATCATTATTGGGGTATCTAATACTATTTATTATGATTTAAACGTTATTTTACATGATTTCCAAAACCTCAGTGGATACTGGTGAGTGACTGAGGCTCTTGGAAGCCTCTATTTTTTCAGGGAAAGTTTGTTGGTCTAGTTTTAAAAGATCAAACTAAGCCAATTTTGCCGGATCAAATATTAAAGGCAATTTTGGCAGATATTATAACTTCATTTCATTAACCATTATTTCTTTTAGCATTTTCAATGAAAGTACAAGTACTTTGAGAAGTAGGAGAAGCTAAGCAACAGAACAGAATTCATTTGGGTCATTGATGTCTAGATTATATAGTGGATTCATAGATTGTCATATTGATTTATGTGCATATGAGCACAGAGGAGCAGTAGTCAATGAATAATTTTGTGATGAGAAGTATGTTATTAAAATGATGACTTTATTTGAATATTTTTTTCTTGTCAGACTCGGTACATCATGTTATTGTACATGTAGTTTCCAAGATTATTTTAAAGTTTGAGGTCATAGAGTTCAAAGTTTTGATTCTTGTTGTGGGCAAGTTGAAAATTATCCATGTTAGAAGTGACAAATTATTATTTTTACAAAACCGTAAACAATTTGTTGATATTCGTGATGAGGTCAGTTTAAGGAAACCAAGAAATAACTTATGGTAAAGTCATTAATATTGTGCAGTTGTTGTAATAATACTCCTTAGTACTTAACTTAAATGTTGACAAGTTTCTGATTCCTTGATACAGGTCTGAATTTGGATTGTAAATAAATATTTGACACATTATAGTTTTCTGAATAAATGTAGTCAAAGAACTTGACATTGGTTACACAGCTACTTTTGCATAGCTACTATTTCTGTACCAAAATTATGTAGTACTGGAAATCTACTTTTAATATTTAGTACCATTTTGTTACTTTAAAATTATCATGATATTAAGTTCCTGTATTTTACAGTACTTGATTTGTACTTGAAATTTAAGTACTACAGTTTTTTATTCATGTTATTACACCGTTACATTTTCAGCATTTTGATAGTTTGTCTATTTCACATCTCTTAAAGTTATGATTTTCAAACATGGATTATTATGATCACTGTGGGTATTATTTCTGTACCAAAATTTTTAGTACAAAACAAGTACTGTAAAATACTGGTACCTTACCTAAATATTACCATTATTTTTGAGTAAAGAAGTAGTACTAAATATTAAAAGTAAATGTCCGGTACTAAAGATTTTTAGTACAGAAATAGAGTAAAAAGGATAAGAATGTACGAAAAATGCTCTGGTTACCAACCAATCAAAATCCGGCATTACTATATAAGGTTGAATTTATAAGGAAAATTGCATTGCAAGCGATCCCAAACAGGCCTACATTTCTTGTAGATGAATTATGAAAAAGTTTAAAAGAACAAACAATTTTTTTATACAACCACAGTATGGGGTCGTATACTGCTACACAGTATACTGCTATCACATTGTTGTCCTTTAAAGACATTTGGTTTCTGGACAAAAAACTTTAGTTTAAGTGTATGGTACTCTTTAATCTAAAGGTTCAATACCCAGTGGTGGATCCAGAAATTTCCCCCCTATAATGTGTCAAATATTTGATTACAATCCAAATTTAGACTTATATCAAACTTGAATATTGTGTTCATTTTTACCCCAACTGTTCAGGGTTCGTTTCCAGCTTTGCTTGGGAAACCGTTTATTGAAGTTTATTTTGCTTTTTGACAGAAAATTTATCCATTGCCAAGGTACATTGAAAGGTTTTTCTTTTATTAAAATATGCACATATATTTATATTAATTTTTTATAAGCTTAACTGTTGATCTTCTTTCTGTTGTTTGCATACATTTTGTTTCGATTCACTCAAAAGTAAAAGTATATAGTAAAGGTATAAATTAGTGAGCATCAATTCATACTACATGTAGTTTTTGTCTGGACTTCTTGATTAAATTATTTATATATACAATTTTAGCTTGTAACCAAATGAAAGGAAAGTACAGTATTGACAATGATTGATATCACTGGTGAACATGTATGTCATGTAGGTGTGAATGTCCTGCAAAAAAGAACTGATATCAAAGTAAGTTCATCTGTAGAATTGCAGTTAATTTAAATAATTTGATGTTATCTACCTAAAACTGTTTCAAGTATAACTGTACATGTACACTGTTGCTTATTTTTCTCACTTTCCCATGTAATGTATGCATCAAGGCATCCTTACTTTGCCCCTTCTACTGCTCCATACACACACACTTGAGATGTCAGAAGTTCAAACTATCATAGCATTTACATTTCAAACTTACACAGCTACAATAGTACAAGTAATCTTGATGTACAGTTCTAAAGATGCATATCGAATGTACATCTGTAAAGCTGTATATAAACTGTACAGCTGTAAAGCTGTATATCAACTCTACAGTTTACAAACAGATGTACAGTTTATATACAGCTTAACAGCTGTACAGTTGATATACAGCTTTACAGATGTACAGTTTATATACAGCTTTACAGCTGTACAGTTGATATACAGCTTTACAGATGTACAGTTTATATACAGCTTTATAGCTGTACAGTTAATATACAGCTTTACAGATGTACATTCGATATGCATCTGAGAACTGTACATCAAGATTACTTGTACTAAAGTAGCTGTGATATAGACATCAATCTTATTCTACGAGAAGAGAAAAAGGGGAGGGGGGGAATCAGAATCAAAGGCATGTATAATAGATGTGCCATTTGACTTTGGTACACTCAAAATGATTGCTACTACCTTGACAATGTCCAGTACGGGGTGACATCCTCCGCTATTGCTTGCAATAGCAAATCTAGTGTTAGAATAACCTTAATCGCCATTCATTTTTTCTGATGTAAGAAGAGGAAATAGAGTATATTTCTCAATCTTACGTGTAAAATTGTGCGTTAGATATTTGACACTGAACAGCACAAAACGTATAGACAAGGAATAAACCAATGCAAAATGTGTCATTTTAGGCTATACAAAGTATTGATCAATCAATCAAATCATGATTAAAGTGATCAAATCATGATAAGAGATCAATCAATCAAGTTTTGATATCAAACAAGTAATTAATCAAGTGGAGAATTCGAAAAAAAAATGTCCCCTCACCTTTTACAAACTGTCAATCAGTCGATCAATCAATCAATCAAACTATCGATCAATCAATCGATTGATTGATCAATCATGATCACAAACCATCAATCAACCAATCCACATAATTTTTCCGATCAATTTATGAAAGAAAATACCTTTAATTCGCTTTTGAACAATCGACTTTTGCGTATTATTATGTCACCCCTTTGATAAAAGGGGGGACATATTGTCATTCTACGAATTATTCTTCCACACTTTTTGTCCAGCTTAGTTCTCGGAGATGACTTGACATACATTGATAAAACTGCTCCATAAAGACAATCCCCATGTGCAGATGTGCACTTTGGGTTTGGAATTTTCAAGATGGCTGCCGTTACCATGGAAATGGCAAAAATGTGAAAAACCGAAAAATGGTCCAAATTAAATGAAACTTTATAGCTGTACAGTTAATATACAGCTTTACAGATGTACATTCGATATGCATCTTGAGAACTGTACATCAAGATTACTTGTACTAAAGTAGCTGTGTACCTAGTCAGATTGGCCTATATTATGTATTGATAAGTTGTTATCATTTAGAATACATAAAATATTTGCCACTGGACATTAAAATAAGCAAAAAAAATCAACCAATTAATGATTTTGCATTATCAGAATGAATTTGCAAACACATAGCAATCAGATTATGTACATGGATAAACCTTGGAGCTTTTTCAATGAACCAGGTTTAACCAGCATATAAATATAAAAAGATGAGGTATGATCCTCAATGTGTCATTTAAAAGACCAAAGGACATTATTATTTATATAATATAATGCTATTTCACACTTTCAATTTTGTTTTTTGATCAGAATTTTTTTTTGTCAAAACATAGCCATAAGTATTTCTATTCTTGGCAGCATTGTCAACGATTTGTATAAAGCTTTATATTTCAGAAGGTAGAAGACCTGGCCTTGAAGTCATAAAACTTTTGAGTCATATTTTTGTACTCATACTCCAAAATCAACCAATCAAAATGTTTGATTTCATGTTTCGAGCATAATTTTTGTGCTCCGAGCACTGAGCAAAGTTTTATGACTTCAACCCCTGGACTTCATATCTTGTTTGCAGAGGCTTATGTTACAAAGATTCTGTCTGTCATATGTCCATTGTCCTCGACCTCATTTTCATGGTTCAATAACTGCTTGAAAAAAATATATAGTTCTTTTGTCATGTGAATTTCTCACTTGACATGTATGAGTTATAGGATATTATAACTATATTTGGTATATGGGTTCCTTGTAACATCTACATGTCTGTTAGAAGGGTTCACCTGACTTCTTCTTCACTTTTTTGATCAGTGACAAGGTCCATTTCTCAAATCCTATAAGCAGTAGGTCAACTGTACATGTATATCAGTCTGGCAAGTCAGTCTGGCAGGTTTCATCTGATCTTGGGTATGACCTCATTTCATTTATCAATGTTAAGTTTTTGTATTTTTGCTGATTTTCAAGTACTACAAGCTTAAATATTAGGTCAACTATATTTGGTGTATAAAAAAATCGTTTGGTGTAGATGTCTGTCTGATAGGATTTATCCGACCTTCACCTCATGGTCAAAGATCTGTAAAGTGTTAAGATTTTGTGATACTTTTAGTAATTTTACCTTTATCTTAAAGAATTTCAACATAAAATAAATGGTCAGCATGTCTTGTTGAGGTACTGGTTACCTATGAGTTGTACGCTTAACATGCTTTGACAATTTTGTAAATACTGGTTCAACCTACAGCTTGTATTTAATAGAGGCTCTTCCAAGTTACGGCTATGGTAGTTTTATCAAAATTCCTTCATTGTTTGATTAATCTATTGATACTGTTTCTGCACATTGATATATGAGTACACACACAACTTTGTTTTAAGATTTCATAAAAGGAAAGTAAAAGGAAAGGCTTACATTAGTTTGACAGCAACCTTACAGCAAAAAGTACAATAAACATGGACATGACAGCAGTTTTTATACAACCGCCAAAAATCACATCATCGTCCGAAATTAAAAAAAAAAAATTCTTCAAATATTATTTGGGGGAGGGGTGTCAATTCGCAACAGCATAGTGTACTGCACAAAAGCAAAAAAATGAATATAAATTCAAATCATATAACCAATTCTAGTTCTTTGACTACATTTATTCTGTGTCAGAAACCTATTATTTGTCAAATATTTAAAAACAATCCAAATTCAGACCTGTATCAAGTGCGAATATTGTGTCCATTTTTGCCCCAACTGTTCAGGGTTGGACCTCTGCGGTCCTATCCAGCTGCACTCGGCAAAGCAATTTAATTTAACATGCTAAAACTCACAATATGTCATAGGCATATACTTTGCAGGCAGTTTGGGACCTCTTAAGTGTATTAGACTATTAATTACTATAACATTACTTCATGGAAGTTAAATTTATATTATTTATGAATATTTTATTTCAGTTACCATTCACAGTGAACATGGTGAAGAATAACCAATACCATGAATACAGGACATAGAAGACTACCTCACAAATATGGGAATTTTACAAAAAATACAACATTTAAATTTACAAAGAAGACATTTATTTTGACATTCATGGACTTTGAAAGTAAAGAAATTAGAATGTGAATAAAAATCCTTGGAAATAAAATTTTGAACTTTGAAGGAGATTGAAGATTATGTTTGTTCTAAGAAAGTTTTAAGAAAACAGATACATTCAAAACTGTAAAAAGGAAACAATACAATATTCACAATTACTCTTGAGATCAATTACTCTTGATATATAATTAAAAGATCATATAAAAGTAAGGAAATTTGGTTGAATTGCCAATGAGAAAAATATCCACCAGAGTTCAAATGATGTGATAGTGAGCAATTATAGGTCCTCCAACAATGAAAAAAAACCAACTATATAGTGTGCTATGAAAAGGTTTGGATATGACAAATAGAGAAAACTAAGAGCCTTATTTTAACAAGTTAATATATGAAAGCAAAATATGAACCAAAGACAAGCACTGAAATACTTATGATTAATGTTGATTTACTCTTGAATATTCATGTAGAATGTTTAAAAAGATTTTAAATCAAAGTTATCATCAATATTCAACTTGTTAAACAACAAGTCACTGTATGACAGAAAGTTCTATGCCAAAAACCTTGTATGTATTGCATCAGAAACAAATTTTAGATAGAACACTAGGAGACTATATCAGGGAATGCAGATAAAAAGTATCATCACCTTAAAATAAAGTATAGCATTTTGTCATTGACAGGTCCATCAAAAGTTTCAGCAATATAACTGTTACATAAAAATCAAACCATACAGGTATTTTTTTTCAAAATATCTCTATATAATAATATGCATAATATTAATAGACGTTATACGTCCGTGGTACAAAAAATCCGTATTACGGACGTGGTACTAAACATCCGTATTACGGACGTAGCATTATAAATCCGTATTACGGACGTTTAACGGATGTTTTACGGTTTGATACGGACGTATTATGGATGGGAAGCAACGGACGTTTTACGTCCGTGGTACTATTCGTCCGTAGGTTTTCCGTATAATACGGACGTATTACGGATTTTTTACGGACGTAATACGTCCGTAGCTATTTTACCTGTGTATAAGGGGCGTAAACATTAAAAATTCGAACAATTTTGTTTGAGTCTAATTCAAATTCAACCATCAATTTCCTTCCCTCTACATCTCTATATTTTTCATAAACGTCAAAATCTAAAATTGGTTATCTCTTTAGAAGCGGAAGTCCCGTTATAGCAAAAACTTAACCCTTCCCATTTTTTTCACCTATTCATTTTCTATCAAAAAAGTGAAATAACCAAAATACCGAACTCCAAGGAAAATTCAAATCCGAAAGTCCCTTATCAATTTTTACCAATGTTGTACAATGAGTTTCTTCCAAACATATAAAATCCATATTTTTTTTCTAAAACCATTGAAACAATGCTTTCCTTTTCGACTTATCTCCCATACCGTTTTGCGTTTAATGAAACTAAACGAAAAGACATACTTTATGAAAGGATTCATGTATTTTAGTTGATTCAGGGAAGATTGTATTTTTGTGGATATTTGGAGTTCGTGGTTTTACCAAAGTTTGCATTCACGGATCTGGAAAAATTTAGATTTCGTTTAACATTTCAATTCGTAGTATGAAATGTACGAACAATCTTGTTATCGTTTTCTTAAAATTGGTTACCCACATATACTAATATACTGTGGATTCATTATTATTCGTTGGATACCAATTTTCGTGGTTTTCGTTGGTACAGGTGAACCACGAATTCAAATGTTCAACGAATAACTAAATTTATATAGGCTTTGTATGCAGAGATAGACAAAACCACGAATTCAAATATCCACGAAAATGCAAGTTTTTCTCAATCCACGAAAATTGGTACCCACGAAAATAAATGAATCCACAGTACCCACAGTAAATACGTATTAAATAATTAAAAAAAAAACTTTAGTTTTTACTTGAAAATTACACAATCACACAAACAAAATCTGACGTAATTTATAATTTTGCAAAGCACTCAGTGCCTGTTTAGGAAGGTTTAACTTGTATCCGTGTGCGTAACCGAACCATGTCCATTACACGTCATCTTTCGAACTTACTCACTATAAAACAAAAGATTGAAAATTAGAAATATCACTTATGCAATAGCGAACATAATTTTATAAAACCACATAATACGTGTTACCGTTAGACATTAGCAAGTTTAAACACTACAGACGACACAATTTGATGATGGTGGATACCTTAACTTCTATTCCACCGATGATTATCGGGGGAAGTATTATTAGCACTGTATCATTCCTTCTTCATATAATAGGATTTTCAACAACATATTGGTATAAATTTGGAGATGTTGTTCATGTGGGATTATGGAAATCATGTGTTCGATTAAATGGAGTAGAAGTGTGTAACTATTTTTCAGGTATTTCCTTATTTTCTGACATAATTTATCGTTCCCTTCATCACAGATACAGGAATTTCCAAATTTTAATTTTGTATCGTTTGCTGAGAAAAGGCTATTTAAAGTGACTGTGTGATGAAAATTAATGATTAAATATTTGATTTCAATATTGTAGTCAAATATTGTTTTAAATAGACTTAAGCTATACAAATATGCAATAATGAACCTAAACAACAGGGTTCAATAAACTGTAAAGTATGTGGTTGTTTTTCAAAAAATGTAATGTGCCGTTCGATGATATCACAACAAGTATATACACATGTATGTCATGTATTATATGTTTCTTATTACACAAGGATATTGTCAGTAATTCAAATCATTAATTATACGCTTGACCACAAAGGCCACTCCCAGCGATTACAATAAATGTAGCGATTTTATTGTTCTCATTTTACTTATCTTAATCATTTATTACCTATTGTTGGTTTCATAAAAATTACGAGCAAACCTGATTAATATTATTCAAGACATATTACTGGTATATTTTACTGAATTATTTCATAGATGCATTTTGTTTTATTTGAAAGTTTGACTGTTCCTGTATAGATCTTCTTACACGGACAATATCACATTGTTTTTATTTTTTCAGTGATAGTGTTTATAAATCCAGGAAATTTATATAGGATCCATGTAAACTTATTTATTATTCGAATCACATTATTCTGAAAGGTTATACATTTAATGCTGTAGTAAATTATCTGAATATTGTTTTCATAGGTAGCATTGTCTTCATTTTTATCTATTTAAGGAATGACGTTAATATTCATTGAAGAAATACCATACAAAATGTGGTACACACTGAATAACCCGCGTAACGGGTTATTTAAAAGTGTGCACCACATTTTTGAGGTTATTTTGAATAAACAAAAAAAGTATTACAGTCATTTCTTATAATTTCATGTTAAATTCCATTCTTAAGGAGTAAATCATAATAAAAAGAAATGTTGATGACGTCATGGTCACATGACAAAATTATGTCTATGAGCTGATAGACGAAACTTCATCCGATCAGAAGACGTGTTACATCCAAAATTAAATTATTTTAGCATAACAAAGCATCTAATAAATTTGTTTAGCCCTACATCCTGTCGATACTTACATTTTAGTATTATTATGACGTGTTTACATAAAATCCGTTGGTTGTGTACTGATGTAAATATTAGTGAGGGAATGCATGTTTTATTTATTAGTTGTAATTGTCTCAGTAACTGAGTACTATTTTTGTATTTGTTGTCCTTTTGTTTTTTGAGTGCTTTAAACTAATGTGATGAGTATAGTCTTTTTCATTAGGTTAATATAGTTTGTTCTAATGTTGTGGACTATAACCTCTGTAATAAGTAAGATAAGGGTTGAGCACTAACAAACGTGTTTCGCTCACGTCATATTCCGTATTTGTTCGCCTAAGTTATGACTATGTAATGGTTGTCGTTGGTTGTAGGTGCCATATTTGTTTTTCATTTGTTGATATAGCATAAATCAAGCTTTCTCCGAATTGATTAATATTCTTTAATGCTGGGGCCTTTCGTAGATGACAAACAAAATTGGTTTTGTGCATTGTTAAAGACAGAACAATACCATATAGTTGTTGACAATGTCATGTAGTCTCTGGTAGATAGTTGTCTCGATGGCAACATAACAAATTTTACATTTGCGTACGCTATACTATATATAGCTATGAGGAGAATGTAGGATTTTGGATCTTGAATTGGTATTTCATTGTATTATTTGATTAACAGAATTTCAGATTTTGTATAAATTATGCATTCAAAACCCAATTTTGTGTGATAAATAGAAAACTACAGCATAGAATTTTAAGATAAAATATGAGAAGATAGCTCCAATAATATGCTTTCAGATGAGAAAAAGAAAAAAAGGGGTCACCGGACACGTTTTCTTGCTACATAATAAAATAGGTAAATTCACAACACATTCTATTATGAAAGTTACTTTATCTGAGCTATGTCCCCTTATATCTGAGTTATCTACCCTTATTTAGCAAAGTTGGAAAAAGTGTATCAAACAAATGAAATTCTGTGTTTTGTAAAATACAACCGTAAATATCATAAAACACATACTTTTCTATATCAACATGACCAGTCTTACACATGAATTACATACTACTCTCGAAATTTGCACATTTCATTCAAGATCTAGACCGATTGCTGTCTGCTATTTCAAAATCCAAGAGGTAGACACCCCGGCAACCTTAAATTTAGTTGCATGATGTTACCACCACAATAACATTTAGTGTGTTAAGAACCAATACCTAATTCCTAGCAGCCTTACTAGGTCCAGTGGTGACATCAAATAGTTTGTATTTATTTGTATATACTTGATGTTTTTGAAGATAAAGGGGAATAAGACTATCAAACGACTGATTTTAGGCATAGATAAAAGAAATGTTTGTGTATAGGGTTTATTTACCATCCAACTTTTGAATGCCTCGTAATGCATATTCTTAAGCTTTATTTGGACCTCTCGGTGTGAAAATTGACAAAATTGCAAAGTATTGTCATATATTTAAGGTAAAAAAGAAGCAAAATAAAAAAAAAAAAAAAAAACAAAATGTCTACATTCCCGTGTATTTACCCGAAGATATCCTAACAAACATATTTTTTGGTCTTATTTTTATAATAAATTATTGCAGATGCACCAGTACGTGA